AATCATACGTATACTAGCTTGCAGAATAATTGGGGTTCTCTTAGAAATTCATCGAGTAGAAGCATGAATCTCAGTTCATAAGAAACCTTTCAAAGTATGACATTTTCAGGAGATCGAATAGGATGTCTAGTGTGTTCCAACAGTATAATAAAATCATAATAGGTACAAATCAAGTCCAGTAAATCTCATAATTTCGTAAAAGAGTTTAACTTTTGAAAATCATAGTTTAAACCCTTTTCTGGTACACCATCAGTAGTTCCCAAAAATTATTTTCCATATAGCTTACTTTATGCACATAGCAAAAAGAAAGCCGACTTAAGGATAGGTATGAAGCTTGTATCCTTAAGCCCAAGTCAATAAGTCCATATAGCTTACCCTAAGCACACAGCAAAGGAAAGCCGACCTAATGAAACATCTTGGGGCCCTCAAGAGTCACATTAGGCCCATTTAGCTGATCAGAGCTATTCCATCGTAATTCAATTCCAAAATTCAATTGTACCGTGACATAAATTCCATAAATCCAAAAACATGGTAATCGTATACCATTTCAAAATAAAAATTAGATAGCAGCCATATTCCATAAATTGTCACATTAAATTGGTGCATCCATAAACAATAACCAATGAATTCGGTGTACCACATATTAAAACCAATAAAACAGTTCAGTAATAAGTAGGGAACACACTAGAGAATCCAAGTATTTCTAGAGGCCATTGTAGTTATTATTTTGGATACATGAAACTTATGAAATTTGAACGAATTCCTGGAACAAGGTCCTATTGAGGAGAATCGATTACTAACCGATCTAGCCAGGCATTTAATGTTGATACATTAGAATCCCACTATATTTTCGTGTGCTTTAGGAAAACGTTCAAGAACCTTTATACATAATAATTAAATTCAGATTTACTGCGAGTGATTCCATTACCCAACAATCAGGGGTATTCAGGAATATACTTTAAATTCATAGGATTTCAGCCCAATTAAACCAAATGAGATATTCAGAATCTTTTCCATCTGCGTTACTTGTTTTTTTTCAAACATGACCGAAGTGATTTTAGATGAAATATAGAATCGAAGATTCAAGTCATTTACAATCTACGACTATCGATCATATTATCAACAACTCGAGTTACACAACTCTCAAACTGATGCATGTCAACAAGTCAATTCATTATCCTTCCAGTGTATTCACTCTTTAATACCATAGTGCAGATCCTAGATCATCCCCATAATCATCACTGAATAAATCTTCCAACGGTCTTTATTTCATTTCCACGTTTCAACAATATCAGGAAATACTGACGTACTTGATCCATGGCTCATAACCCATAATGACAATTCATCATGTAAGTTCAACAGTGTTTCCAAACTCATCAAATCACCTATTTAATCCTTAGTCATTGATGTTACTTAGTTCGTTTGGTAACCAAGTCTACTCCGATTACTTTAAAGTTTTCCAGAATAATTCAGACGTTTCTGAATTTCAAATACACGTTGTACTTCATTTCATTTCAATTTATTCATATAATAAAGTCATTCTGGTATTCGTGATTGATTTGACTAACGACTACCCACTTATTAGTACTGTATGCGCTCTAGAGTTGAGCTGCGCCAAGTACTTCCAGAATATCATCGATCCAAATTGAGAAGATGAACAAACATTCAAGTGATACTTATATCATTCAGGTAATGATATAGTACTAACGTTGGTTAATCACTTAAGTTGCGTTCCACAACTTTTACTGGTAGCACAACATCCATGTTTATTTGGATTCTTAATTAATCCAAGACATTTACTTATTCTAGGTCATAAGGGCATTTTGGTCATTTTGGTGCTTAAAATTTTTCTATTCATTTCAAAGCTTGAGTATCCATTCATTCTTGAGCTTGGTGATATTCTTGAGTCATTTCCATTCCAGGGGTAATTTGTCATTTTATAATTCTAGAATATTTCAATCATTTCCTTCCATCCGGTTATTATTTAATTCAATCTTATCATTTACTTCTTCAGTCATTTCGAACAATTCTGTCAGCAGAATACCTCCGATAAATTACTCTTCAAGTATTTACTCCTTATTCGAATATTTTCGGGTCAAGTGTCTTCTGAGATTTTACAAACGGAATATTATAATTTTTCTGTACAAAGACAGGATCTTAACAATTAAATTCGTACTTAATCGAGTTAAGTACAAATCCTCAAAGTACTCTCTCATTCAGGGTCAATTCAGACTATTTTATATCTCAAGGGCATTTTCGTAATTTCTTAACCAGATAATTTCAATATTAGCACTTAACGAAAATAATTATAATTTAGAGATCCTATGATCAATTGCTTTCCGAACATTCTTTGATTTTGAAATGATTCATTCACAAACTCTCATAGGATTAAAACCGGTTATCCATAATTTCCAAATAAAACTAACATTTCTTATGCACATCAGTAGTTATATCGGATCAATATGTCTTTTCAGAGTTATTAACCAACTTCCAGTGGCAATTTTCATTTTCCAACATAAGGGTAATTTCGTATTTTACCATATCGGTGTATTCTCATAATTTTTCATCCAAGTATCTTTAACATTTAACCCTTGATGATATAAAATATAAGTTACAAATCCAGAGCTGATTTCTTATCACCAATCACAAACTTGTAATTTAATTCTAACAATTATCAATCTCTTATCTTAGTCATTCGATCCGTATTCAGTTACAGAATTTCTACCACATTCATATCGAGTGAATAAATTATTCAACTCCACAAAAGTGACCAACATTATCTTATTCATGCATTTACCAATATCAAATGTTCCATAAAGCATAAAGAGGTAGTAACGTATTACCTCGATTTCCGTGCAATACCGATCGACCATAAAAATTCCATTCGAATGCCTTTGATCTTCAATTCAACTTCAAATAATTCCTCAGATACATATCAACATAAATTATATCAGAAATGGAGCTTAATTGCGATAAACGGATCAAATCGGGTGATAAATCAGTGAAAGACGGCTTACGGGTTCGAATTTGGCGAAACGGACTTTGGATTCGGATTCAGGACGTCGAAAGCATGAAATGTGACTTTTCAAAAATTTGGAATTTTCGGTCAAAATCAAAGTCAACGGGTTTGACCAGCAATTTCGAGGCCTTCGGGTTCGAATTTCAAAAAACGGACAGCGGAATCGGATTTGGAACGTCGAAAAATGTCAGGATAGGTATACTCGGTCGAAGTCAAAGGTCGTTTAATGCCTGGTCAAAGCCAGTCAAAGTTTTGGTCAACAGTGGTCAACGACAGTCAACGGTCAACGGGTCGAGTCAACGGGTCGGGTCGGGTCAACGGATCAGGTAAACGGTCGGGTCGGGTCGGGTTGTGACCGGTCAACTATGCACGAAAAACCGGTCAAACTGGTCATTTTTTCTTCCCCACGCGCAGTGGGGGCGCGTGAACAGTGCTAAAATCCCAGAAAAATTTCTAAAAATTATTTTGAGCGATTTCGATATACTTACAAAGCTCGGTTTGAACGGCGGAGAGCTCGATTTCAACAAATCGGAAACTTTGACCGCTTCACTTCCTCACGCGCCGCCGTCGACGGAGACCAAGGATGACCGAAAAACTCGGAACGATGCAACGAACACGATGGTGCGGGAGGTCGTAAAAGATGACCCGATCGTCGTGAATCGTGAAAAACCAACTAAAACCGAATTATTACGACGATACTTCTGACTGAAATTCACGACGAACGGCGATGATTCACGACGAAAGGTTTGAGGGGTTTTGTTCCTCGATTGACAACGAACATGGTGGTTTCGGCTCATCGTTTGGAGGTCGAACGGCGAGTAGATCGAGTAAAGTTGGATTGTTGGAAAGGAAAATCTGAAAAATATGAAACCTGCGCACGGGGAGAAACTTATAATTCATCATATATAGAAATGATTAAATCTTGAGTTTAGCCACTGAATTTCCCGCACTTTATAAAACGGTCTGCCAACTTTAAACTTTACAATTTAATCCTCAATGTTTCTTTCAAAATATCAATTAAATTCGCCACTTTATAATTTCTTAATTTTAACCCCTAAATTGGAGTGTTACAATAGTTCATCCAAAGAATGTAGCCATGATTTTTCAGTGTTATTACAATAGTGGCAACAGTGCGATGAAAGTGAACGAGGTTAGAAATGTAGACAGCAGTGGAGCAATTTGTTCATAAAGAATTCCCGGGGAGCTCGATTCCTCGGCAATAACTCTCGGCAACTTTTGAATTAGTCGTTGCTGTTCGGATGGTTTCTTCAGCATTTCTCGCTCGTCTAGAAATCGTTCCAACGTATACAACCAGGAGGGGGGGGGGTTAAGGTAAAACCAGGAAGGTTCCATTAAAGAATGTTTCAACTTTAATTACAAAACCAATTTGTAACTTGAAAGGATATATGTATCTCCGTCCCTTCTCGTGCGCAAAAGCAATTTTACTCTGCAATCGGACCAATTCTCGTTGAATCCACTGCCAACAATATTCCAGAGACAAACAATCAGAGAAATCCATCATGGAACAAGCCTCAAGTAAGATACAGACTAGTCAAGCACAGACGTATGATAATTTAAACAACCGCGAAATCAACACCCCCTCGGTGCATGCATACACACCGAGACAAACATTTGCATGCGAAAGCGTTCTACGAAAGCATAGTGTTGAATATTCATTTAATCAGTGTTTCAAACCTCCCTCAAAGCCACCTTATGGGGGAAGAAGCTCAAAACGCATAGCATTTCAAAAGTATATAAAGAGAAATTAGAATAATTTCATATACATACCTTCTTTGTTATATCTTCATGCAGACTTTTGGCCTTTACTTCAAGCTCCACCTGTTAGCGAAAATGTTTGGGTTAAGCTGCTTAATAGCCTTTCTCTATACATGGAACTCAAAAGAAGTATTCACTTGTAAAAAATTATCAATAAGTTGTTTCTAGGAAAGCAAGAGTTTCACTCCTCAGAAAGAACTTACGACTGTGGGTTTCCTGAGAATTCCATCCTTCATCCTCTGCTGCAGATCTACACATTCGTCCTGTTTACAGAACCCTATGCAACTAAGGGTACAATCACAAAGATGAACGCATACGCATGAAAGCTCAAGCAGTTACCAGAAATCCGGGGTAAATCACTAAGATGAACGCATACACACACAATTACAATGCAAGCAAAAACCAGTAAATCATGGGAAATTTACTCAATGTTGGTATCATCTAACTGCGTATAGAAAGCCAAGTAAACTCCCTCAGTAAATTTGAGAGAGTCCACATGCTGGAAGCATACAGAAATATATTGCTGAAAACCATAATTGAAATAACTCTAATGCTACATTCGAGAACTTGGTTAGAATATTTCTATAGCTATTTAAGATTCACCACTAAATAGGCATGCAACTGATCCAAGAAGCTGAAAAACAATAATGAACATTACATTTATATTTGTTCTATTATATATTATGCTATGGTTGAAATCCAAGTTCCTCAACACAATCTAAATGAGCCATACAATCTGAAGAAAACCCTCTGTTGAAAGGATCAGTTTCAAATACGTGCAGAAAAAGATCTGAATGTTCAATCAAATTACCTTTTAATATGGGGTATATAAGAATTCATCATTCTAGTGATTTCATCAATATTCAATATTTCAAAGAAAAAAACGAGAAGATAAAACTTCCCAGACATTTGTTACCTCTGAGATGTCGTCGTCATCTAGCATAGTGATAGGAATATCAACTGGCAAGCAAGAAACCTCAAGGAGAATTACCTGGTCGTCATCAGCATTTGAGGTTTCTTTATGCCTGAGAAGTAAAGGGACTAAGACTTACGAAAATTACCGGAATCTTGAACCATTAATGAAACAAAAAATACTTATAGCTTAGATTCGATGCACATAAGGGTTAGATGGAATTTGATGTAATAGATTCTCCCTTTTCAAATAAAAGAATACCTATAACTTGCAGAAGCTGAAACGTTGACCCTGAACAGTTTCCGGGCATTCCTTTCACTCTAACAAAACTTCCCACAACCTTTTCTTCGAAATTATCTGGCTGTGTTGACAGCTCCTCCACTAAGCTCCTCCTTAAGTACACAAGTTTCATATTTTCAGCAACTATAGAAGCATAACTCTTACGGACTGCATATTCCGCCTTTTTCTCAAGAGGTACTTTATCCAGGCTTGATGTTCTCGGCCTCTTGTATTCCGAGGTAATCTGTTTGTTCTCATTCACCAAACGACTTCCACTATCATTCACCTTGTCATCCAAGATTGATAGTTCCAAAGTATCGGCAAAATGAGCTTTGAAAAGATCGCATATCTTATTCTTTTTCCCTGGTTTCTTCTGAAAAGAAGAATTAAAACTTTTCATCACAAAGTATTCTTTATGAGAGAAAAGGGATTTTGTTTTCTCTAAAATTTATTTCGAGATTCTTATATCTACTTTACATTGCAAATATTTTTTCAGTTGTATCTATAACAACAGATTTCAGAATCTCAATGGGATGGTTTGAACTCCATCCAACGAATTCTCTTACCTGAGACTTGTTTCTTTTACCAAATGAATCATCTGAAGCAGAACTCGACTCTCTATCAACATCTGATATTGTGATCATAGCATCTTTATCCTTAATCTTATCACAATCCGAGCCACTTTCATAGTTCTTTGTCTCAGACTGAGCATGACACAAATCGTCAAACTTCAACTCTTCTTGCTCCATTATTATCAACAAATAGTCTTTAAACATGAAATCAGAGGATTCCGGATCTTGAAAGTGTAGCTTGTCCTGCACATACATCCAAGATTTCAATGGCTCATTCTCCGGTGAACAAAAAAGAAAAAGAGAGAAAGCGTCTGATTAACAGAGAAGACATTATACACATTTCCATCAACTTATCAAAAAGCCTTTCAGAGTCAAAGAAAACATGATAAAGCCAAAGAGATGGAAAAATGTTGGTCATAAATCCATTATTCAGCTCATAAATGAGTTGCATACCCCTTCAGAGTCAACTTCCGCATTTGTTTCTGCAAGTAGTGCGAGCTCGAAACATGTTTTGCAAAGTCCTTTGTTCAACTTAACAGGCACAAACTCATAAGTCTTAACGCAGAGCCTACAGACAGAATCGGGGCACATGAGGCAAAAATACCATGGGGGACCACCGCATTCAGCACAAGAATGCCTGGCTGGAAACACAAATAATCGAGACCAAAACTATAAAGTCAGTCTAAAAGGAATTCAATAGATTATAAAAGAGCATTCATGATTCTCAAGTACAGCTAGCAACTGTTGGCAACGAGGAAGAAAACACAGCTTAAGCTATTGAAAACTGTTCATGACAATAAAATAAATATCAGCAGCTGAATCGGGAGTACAGAACAACTAGCTCAAAATTATCATTTTAAGTTAAAGGAGACTTACGGCAGGTCCAGTGACCTTCAGACTTCAATACTGAATTTCTCTTACCAACACACGTGGGATGATAAACTTTCCCACAGCCCCTGTAAACAGAGAACAAAGGGTTAATATTCACTTACATTCCTGGAGAAACAAAAATAAGCATCTTTCTATAGGCATCTCAGATTTGAGGTGCTGTCCGAATATGTATTTTCTCAACATGAATATGCTCGTTTTTTTCATATATTTGGGGGTTATGCCCGATAGTCCATACCATGGATTATTTAGGAAACATGCAAGGTCAAATAACGCAGATTATTTATGATTAAAATGTCAAATTTGAAACCTGGGTAATAGAACAGCATGCAACTTATTGTACTAAATATAATTCAGAGATTTAAGTAGCGGTCAGCTAATGCAATAGCGGCCGCTATATAGCTGCACCAGTGCTGTCCGAAACTGTTATTGCATGACCACCATACCCGCAATCATCGCAAACGCAACCAAGAACGCAACGTAAGCACTTAAACGAACTTTTCTAACAGTCAATCCGTGTCAATAGACCACATGGTTCTTTAATGTTTCCTGAAGCTGTCAACGATAAATTTCAAAGAGAACGTTTTATTCATACAAGATGAAAATGCGATCAACAATACCACCTTAACAATTACACTTAATTTTTTCCATTACCCCTCTTTCTATTTTCTTCTTTTAGCATATCCTAATTCCCCCCCCCCCCTCTGAACTTTTCCCTTTCTTTCCACTATTTTTTCATTTCAATATACAAAACAAGATAATCCAAACCAGCAGTTTACTCAGAAGAAACAGAAAAACAAAAGAAAATAAAAAAAAACAAATTCGTAGTTCAAAAGCAGAAGAAAAAACCCTAATATTACTCACAAAAACAAAAAAAAGGAGATGAAAGGGGGGGGGGAACTCACTTGTGGTCACAAAGAAGCAACTTCCCACCATCTTTACAAACAAAGCACCAATCTTCGGCTTCAGCTTCAGCTTCTTCATTCACTTTTTGCTTCCCTTTGTCTTGTTCATTTCCAAAGAAAGATTATAAAAAGAAGAAAAAAAAGCTGCTTCTTTTTTCTATGTTTATTGGACGTTAAAACCCAAGCTTAAGAGACAGTGTAAAGAAAGCCATCTTGATCTATTCGAAACCAGACTAAAAAAAAAAGATAAAAGACAGAAGGTAAAGTAGTAGAATTATTATAAGTCCGGCGGTAAGGTTAGAAAACTTTATGCAGTTGTCATATATAATAATAATAATAATAATAATAATAACAATAGGCTAAATTGTATGAAAGATCACTTGTATTTAAGTTTATATATTTTTTCTCACGATTTCATAAAACATAATATTTAGTTATTTATATTTATATTTGATTAAGATGTGATCACGAGGGTTAAATATTGTTAAATTTTTAACAGATTGCTGACATGACACAATAGATATATAAGATTATAAAGGATACATTACACAAATGATCAATGATGTTTAAACAAATTTCTTTTTTCTCACTAAAATATATAAAATCAGACCCTGATTTAGAGTTAGAACTAAATATGATCTCTTTCAACACTCTTTTCACTGTCAACACTAAGGAAAGAAGGCAACGTCATGGTTTTAGAGTGTTAAAGCTCATAAAGATAAAAAATTATTTTCTGATAGCATTATGACATAGGTCACCATATCTCTAACGAATGTTATTGTTGAAGATAAGGATGCCCTTTGCTTGTTTCAATCTAGGAAGGCAACAAGGATCCTTATACAATCAAGATGGCTTAATGAGAATAGTTAAATGGAGGTAAATGAAATGAATATAAAATTAAGGTAATTAAATTAAAGAGTTAGTGCAGAAGAGATAGATGATATGCTTGATAGGAACTGGTGAAGTGTGGTAATAGAAGTAGAAGTATGGTGGTGGTCGTGGAAAATGATAATCCAAAGTATCAAGGAAGAACCTAAGCTATATTAAAGTTTAACCCCAGACCTTATAAGATGAATTGAAGGGTGGTGCTTAAATACTTTGACCCACTAGATACAAAGATCTAGGAACCAAAAGTATCATGGTGGAAATAGATAGGTTGATGCAACAAGCTAAGCTTCAAAAGTTGATAAAGTTCACTTAAGAACTAAAGAGATAAACTCTCACATATATTTGATAGAACAAAGTTGGTTGATTTACAAATGAAAGCTAAATTGTTTATAGGCCCAATGATGCCTAGGATTCATGAATGGTGTGAATACAAAGCTTTAATTAGTGAACATTCATGGATTAATATCCATCCTTTAAGTAGATGCATTGTACTCATAATCTGAACAAGAACAATGCATTGGATGAATGAATGTTCATCCTTTAATTAATTAATCCTCTTTTGTTGAATTCTTCCCCCTTGGTGTGAACAAGATAGTTCGTCTCCCTTGGATGAATTTGGATTTCATATGAACTTGATCATTCAGCTCCTTGCATGCACTTGGTTTCCATGTGTGAACGTGATGGTTCGATTCCTCACATGCACTTGTTTCCACACATTTTTATGAATGGATTCATTCTCCTTTATTCTTACACACCATTCATGTTTGATGGATTTATGAATGATTACATTCATTTCCCCTATGGTGTGAACATGACTCCTCAGTTGCCTTGGATGAATGTGCATCTTTATATGGTTGAATGTATTGTTTTGAAGGCTTGGATTCTTTGTATCTTAATGAATGTGCATCTTTTGATAAAATAATGAATCATTTGAATTGTCATTTCTTGTTCATACATCTCTTTATCAATATCATCCATCCATAAATTCAAGGAATATGACGAATGGTTGTAAATCATATATGAATTTCAGTTTGCACTGTCTTTGGTAATTTGGGCATATCTCATGATCCCGATGTTGGATTGATGTAAAATGGTTTTGAAATGAAATGTTTGGAATCACTTCCAATCATTTTAAGGTGCGATTGGAACACTAAAATTTGGGTAATTTTAATAAAAACATTTTTATTTTATCAAAATACCAATTTTGTGTAACATCCCAAACACCGGGTTAGTGACCAAATTGTAAAATTTTAGAATTTAGTGACTAAATTAGATAAATTAAAAAGTTTAGGGACTTAAGTGGAATATATTTGTGTAGGACTGAATAACAAAGAATGATGAATGAAAGGAAAAAATGGTCATTTGACAAGTAAATGAATTAAAATTGGTTTTGGTTATTTTATATACCACGTGGAGCTATAAAAGGGGAAACGTAAAGATTTCCAGAAATATCTTCATCCTTCTTCCTCTTCTCAACTTGAGCTCTATAGCTAAGGTGAGTTTTGTTTTTAGCTGGTTATTTCTTGAAATTCATAAATGGTTTTGATGGATGGAGCATTAGGAAAGATTATGGAAACTTAAAGGGATGTAGAAACTAAAAGAATTGTAAGTTATAAAGGATTGAATATAATAGGTTTCTAAGTGAAATTGTGAGAAAGAGTTAGTAAGTGAAGTTTGATATTAAATTTGACTTGTCATCAGTTAGAATAAGAAGTATAATTGTTACAAATGAAATTAAAACATGTTGAAAATTTAGTAAGATTCTTGATTACAAGAGTTTTGATGAGATTGAAGATAATGATATGTTATATGGATATAAGATGGTTTGAGTAAGTGTAGTTGGGTTTAATCGTATGAAAGGAGTTCAAAACGAAAGGTTTAAGTAGATTCTGGTAAATTTTGAGGTTAAATGTATGAAATTTAGGCAAGGGGTATCGGTATTGTTCATCTAGTATCGATACTTCAAAGAGAAATAGATGATATTTGGGGTAAGGGATCGATACTGTATGAACAATATCGATACCATAAGTTAAAAATGGATAAATTACTCAAGGAGTATCGCTACCAAGGGTACCGATACCATTTTGAAATCGAATTCCAGAACCGGAAAAGGGTATTGATACCAAAGCACATTATCAATACCACAGTAAAGGAAGTATCGGTACTATACCTTGGGTACCAATACTACTCAAAGTGAAAATGTGAATTAAGTACTTCTTTTAGCTTAGGTTATTGATGATCAAATGATAATTCTTAGAATTCAGATATTTGTATCAAATGTATAATTGTGTAGATATCAAACATAAGCAATATCTGGAACAGTCGAAGAGTTAAGATTAATCGAGAGAGAGAAAATGAGTTATAGGAGTTGATTGGACTAAGTGATGCTAAGATGAGTGCATACTATAATAGATAGTGTTTTATGGAAATAAGACTTGTGATAAGCCTATTTCCTATGTTGATTTCATGGTTCTATAGTTATAAGCATATTGATGTCATAATTATTACGAGTACATGCATAAGTGGTATATGTTTATATGTTATGATATACGTTACGTTATCTATGTGAATATAAGAGAACAAAACATAAGTTACATGATACGAGATAAGTAGTTATATGTACATGTGATATATATTATGAGATAAGACCTATGGGATTACATGAGAAATGATATGAGTCATATGAGTACATGTATATATGATGATTTGGTTGACTATGTGAACATGTGAAACATATAAGTGGTAAAGCCCATGTTATGTGATATGAGAGTTGTGGGTATAATTGGTATGCTAAGAGTCGAGGGTTCTACGAGGTCCTTCGGGACATATATGTGGTCCTTCGGGACAATTCTACGAGGTCCTCCAGGATAATATTATATGGCACTCAGTGTAAATTTATACGAGTTGTGGTGACAACATTTGTGCACAACCTCAATGTACTCACATACCTTATGTTCTCAGTAATGTACATAGGCTAATAAAAGATATAATATGAAATGATTTTGAATAATGTGATAGGTTATGATTATGAAATGCATGTCCATGTATGTTCTTGTTAAGTATATAGATGATGATAGTCATTATACTTTAATATTATTGAATTGCATGTTCATGATTTAAGAATTGTATTATTGTATTCTATGCCTTACTAAGTCTGAGACTTAGCGTGTAAGTATTTCACACGTAGGTTCCAAGAAGTAGGAAGATCAGAGTTAGGATCTATCAAGGCAACATATCTTTTAAAGAAGATCAGACCAAAAGTGATTCAAAGAATATGTCATTTTGTTATATTAATTATGTTGGCATGTAATTAAATTTTAAATCACATATGCTCTGATTGATTTTGAAAATATTTTTTTATTATACTTATGTAAATTATTTCACTTTTATGTTAATGAAAGTTTAAATTTTCCTCGATTTTGTAAGAGTAAACGTTTTGAAAAGTCAATGTGACACCTCGGATTCGTATCCGGGTCGGGTACGGGTTGGGGTGTTATATTTAATGGAATCAGAGTTATGGTTTAGCCTATTCTAGGCATAAATCAAAGTCCAGAGTGTCTTTAAAAGTATACATGCCAACAAAATAGTGAGAACTTCTGATATGATAGAGTAACGAGTATGTTTGTTTTATCAATCGAGTTATATGGTTACGTCTCACTAGATGTCTGAACACGAGAGCTCCCAAAGTGAAGCGGGAGATAATAAACCATAAGGGAGTAGTAATTCACCTGCCCTGGCTAGGCAATGTGAAGGACATGCACCTTTGAGAGTGCCTATACAAGATCAAAATGTGTTCTTTATGACGTTGGACGCTATTCTGACACGTTTTCAATCTCATGCTCTCTTAACTCATAGAATGAATATACAAAGGAGTTGAAAGGATTATGAGTTCCTGAATTTAAAGGTGAAACAGAGGAAGGTCCTGTTGCGGAAGAACTCTGGTTGAATGATGTAAAAATAATGCTAGATGGACTCCACTGTTCTGAGGTGGAGAAGCTGGATGGAGTGGTCCCATTGCTCCATGGGCAAGCCAGAATATGGTGGAAAAATGTCACCATGAGAATGACAAGTGACCAAGTGACATGGTCATTGTTTTTGGAAGAATTTAAGCACAAGTATATTGGAGATCAGTTTGTAAGGCAGATGAAGCAAGAGTTTATGATCCTGAAGTAGTTGAATTGTACTATGTATGAATACAAGTGCGAGTAAAATAATTTAAGTCTTTTTG